AGGAGATCCAGATCTCAGAAATGAGCAACAAAAGGAGAAACAGTGTTGGTTCACTTAAAACCTAAATAAAAGTGAAGGTTTTGAAATGCTGGGCAATTTTCCTATGAAGGAGACAATAATGATATTGGGATCTGGTGGGGATAATATAAAAAACAACAGCCTGTGATGACAGAACTTTCCAAAAGATTAAACTTCAGCAGAAAGGGCTTGAAATTGTCTTTCATGAGGAGACCTACAAGATTTCCTCTTAGGTCTGCATTTTTAATAAAGATTATTAGTATACGTCAATTTCAATCTATGTATCTAAATAGCTCACGTAAAAAGTACAGATCTTATTAAAATAAAATTAATACAGCAATGACAGCAATGAGCCAGATTCAGTCGTGGAATAATGTGAAAGATTACAGTAATTTTAGTCTCATGAATTAAAGATATCTCCTGATTTAACAGATCATAGAAGATTCATATTTCATAAATTTAAGCTGAGAGAAACCCCAATTTCAGATGTGGTAGAAGCTGGTCCAAAAATGTTTTCCCTTTGCCTTAACCACAAATACAAGGTTATTGTTGATGTTGAAGCACAGTCCCACAGATGTTATTTTGCACAATGAATTATACATGCTTTCCAGGAAGAAGGATAAAGTATTCTTGAATTTCTTACCGCATGGAAAGCTCATTGAGTGCACTTTGTAGAAATGTAGGGTTTGTGATCTATAATAGAAAAATTGCAGGCTGGAAAGAAAGAGTTTTATTCATTTTCCGAACTTGCTGAGCTTTACAATGTAACCAAATGTGGAAGAATGAACCAATCTGATTGTTACATTTCCAGTGATTTTAGAAATCACTCCTGCAGTTACATTTGTAAAACATCTAAGTTTTCTCTATAGCCTTCAGATGTTGGGTCAAAGACTGCAGCCTATCCCCCAGTCATGAGCATCATCCCACCCAGGTCCACTCATGCCTGTCCCATCATATTCCCTTCCTGAATTAAGATTGCTACTTCTTCCTCTTGATATCTGTAAGGAAACAAGAAGTGAATGGGATGCTATAATTGAATTTGAGACAAGGCACATCATCTGTTTTTTCAGGAATGAAAAGATACCTGTCTGGTACCTCCTGTCCTTCTTGATTGCCATCCGTGACATCAACCAGAATCCCCTGATCTTACCCAACATCACTCTGGGCTACAACGTCCATGACAATCATTTCTATGCAGAGATGAATGCTGAAGCCTTGCTGGACCTACTTTCTGCAGGGGAGGCAAATGTTCCAAACTACAAATGCGGAAGACAAAAAAAACTGCTGGCTGTCCTTGAAGGGACCGATTCTGACCTCTCCCGACATATTGCAACCATGCTCCGCACCTACAAAATCCCCCAGGTAAGCAGGGAAAGGTGTGGGTTGTGGTCAGTTTCTGCCCTGGAATCTCCAAGACTATTCCAAAAACATGCAAGAGATTTTTTAATGCTGTAGTAAAGATAGAAAACTCATTGTTCAAGTGCGCTATCACTAATTTTATAGCGGTTTCCTCTCTAAGAGTAAAACCTCTCATTCATCGTTCCTCTCTATTCAAATAAAATTTTAAATTCCAAAAGAATATCAAAAATTGATGTGGGTAAATGAAAGAATGTATTACAAGCACCCATCACAGTTCAGTGAGAAAGGCTACCATCTGCTTCAGCTGTTGGTGAGTACTGTAGTCCTATGAAATTTATGCAAATCAAATATGTTATATAAGGGTAGTTATGTATCTAAATGTAAGATAATTTAAAATACCTACAAGAAGTGATAAATTCCTGGTCCAGGCTTGGCTGGGTTGTTGTGGAAAAGAGGGGAGGAGAAAACAGGATGATCATTTCAGTACCCTTCCTTCTAAGCAACTTGGTCCTAGTTGAGACTTGGACGGGAGATCATCAGGCTGTAGGAGACTGTCAGCTCTTTGAGGTAGTTCAGATACAAAGCACCAACTATGAGTACTAACCCTACCTTTAATGTAAGGTTACAGTAAGAGAATCTTGCAACCCTGAAAGTAAATCTCTCCCATCTCAGCTTTACAGCCCAAGAAACCTAGGAGGGTCCTTCTGAGATATTTGCTATGTCTCCATTCCCTCTGTGGGCTAAGCTACCTGTTATCTGCCCATTGCCTGGTCTGTGTCTCCTCCTGTACCTGCTGCTGGCTCTCAAGGACATTCTGACAGACCATTACAGATAAAATTGGAAGTACAGAAAAAATCCCACAACAAAGCACTGGAAACCCACTTCCGTACAGTTGACAAGAAAGCTGTAGGGGTGTGTCCATGAAGTCACCAGACGCTGATAATGATCAATGATGCTTTTCCCACTCAGACAGAGAAAGGCACTGCGAACTGTCTGGATTTCTGGCCAAAGTAGTCAATATGTGAGACCCTTTCCCTCAGAAATGTCAACCAAAGTTTGATTGGCATGATGGCAAACTCTCTGGCTTTCTTGTGTTGCCCTGAAGAACTGAGCAAGTCCCCATTTTGAGTGTGTTTGTTGCTGATGCAATCCTATTAGAATTTAGAATTACTTACAATTTGGAATGAATAATATGTGAATGGGATTTCATGACCAATTCCTTCCATTTTCTCCAGATTTCTTATGCTTTTGTTTC